TACTTTCCCTCCTCCAACCACTTTACAGTCCAATTTACTAGTCTCCCCCCCCCACCCACCCCAACTAATGTGATTTTCTTAGCTAATTTTTTGTGTGTTACCATATCAAAATCATTTTCAAAATCTAAGTACACCAAATTCACTCCCTTTCCATCATCCGGATAACACATAATATCCTTGTAAACAGCCCCAACAACTGAACAGCAAGTAGAATTATAAAAAATCCCAACATTTTAATCTTAAAACAGGGAAATATGAAACACTTTATTTCTGCCTTCATTCTTATCAACTGAACATCATATTACAACTGAGTAACAAACAAATCTTTACCTTCTTGTTTACCCTAGAAATACAGTCTGTAAGAAGGGAATGAAGGATAGATAACTCTCTTCCTAGGTCTATGTATGTATCCAACTCTAGACTAGAGTGGTGGTCCTTGGATAGATGACTCTAAAAAGGGTCAAAAATATGAAATTCAGAATAAAGATAAACAAGTGAATAATTAAGCTCAAAACTATTTGGTTTGCACTTTCTTTTCTTCTTTGAAGAAGAGGTTACTGTTTATGTAGAGGTGTGGATGTGGTGTATCAGGATTATCAGAAAGTATCTGACTAGAGGCCGCATAAAAGAGTTATTTAAAACGTTATCTCTGTAGGTGTGTGGGAATAGTTTATCTTATTAGATAGAAAATTAGCTAGATGAAAGAAAGCAGAGGGTTGTTATAAATAGAGATCAATCAAATTGTCAGGGCTCAGTGTTAGGACCTTGGCTATTTTTGATCTACATCTATGACATAGATGGAAGAAAGATTATTTAAATTTACTGATGACATTAAATGTTTTGGTGTTTGGCTGTGAGGAAGATGCTACTGCCTTATAAAATAATTTAGATTATTTAGTGAGGTGGGTGAATAAATGGCAGATGGCTTTTAATAATAATAAATGCAAGGGAATGCATGTGGGATATCACAATTTCATTTATTAGTATAATTTTAATGGGATTAACCTTAACAGTGTTATGAAAGAAAAATATCTTGGTGTTCTGGCTGAACAGTTTCTTAAGCCATCCAAGCTAGTGGCAGAGCACATAGGATTCTAAGTTCTATTTACCTCAGAAAGGATATTGAATTGTTGAGAAGGGCCCAGAGAAAGGCTATTAGGTTGATACCTGGGATGGAAATGTTATCAGATGAAGACGGGTTAAAATATCAAAACTTGTTTTCACTTGACAAAAAAAAAATGGAGTTAGGGAGTTTCCAATTGAGTACTTAAGAAACTTAAGGGAATTGATTGTGTTGATGCTTTATCTTTTTCATATTTTATGATGAGAATGGTAATACTAGGGAATACAAGTATAAAGTCAACACCACCCACTGTCAACTCTTGGACTGTTCTTTTATCAATGAACAGTGGGATTGACTGTCACAACTTAATGCCTAAACAGCTGAATGGGAGCGAGCATGTTTGGTGATGAGGATTCGAATTTGTAATTCATAGGTTGCGAGTCGATCACCCTAGCCGCTAGGCTATGCCAGGCCACTTAATTTAGTGAATAGGACACTCAAGACAGACCAAAAGGTACCTTACCCTTTAATATTATGGTATGTTGTATGATGTTGATTCAGATAGTCAGTCCTTTATAAATTATTTGAATATTTTTCAAAAGTAATTTAATGAAAAATGAATTGCACTTTTATAACATCCTCAACATTCGCTTAAGGTAAAAAAAAATTACTCCTTACATCAGTTTCTGAAAATTATTGATTTCATCTTCTCTTTTTTTATTCATTTATAAATTTGCACATTTGAGAAGTTATAAAAAAATTTTACAACCAAAGAACTAATATTCATATATTTCAAAAATAAAAAAATTAAACTTACAGAAATTTGCCACAAAAAGGTTTTCATAGTACTCCATTCCTTCTCAACAAATTCATTCATGAATTCCATAAAACTTTCCTTGCCACCAAATCTAAGAACGAAAGAAACTTTGTTGAAGTATGGTCTGAGATAATATTTTTAATGCTTTAATTCTGTATTTTCATTAATATGTTTTCTAATTATTTATTTAGTCATTATGATTAACTTCTCTTTTTGTTCAAGTTTTTAAGAGACAAAATTTAAAAAAAAAGCTTACTTGGTAAAGTTTGCTAATGTCTGAATGGTTTTAGTGATGAGGGTCAAGTTTCTAGCTGCTTTGTCCTGTGGATATTCTGGAAGCAAAATAACAAAATTTAAAAAATGTAAAGAGAAAAAAAACAACAACACATCTCTTCAAGAAAAAACGATAAAAATTTATTATTCTTAAAAATACTGTGCAATTGAGTTATTTGATACTAAATGAACTGATAATACAAACTTTAATTTAACATCTTCACATACATCATTTCAATGATGGCGATAATAATTTGTTTCTACTAATATATTAATGTTAACTTAGATATGATAATTCCCAACAAATATAAAAAAAAAGAGACTGTTGGAATATTACTTCAAAACTTCCACTAGAGTATGCCTTAAAACTTTCAACTCTGGTGGAATGTAAAAAAAATAAAAATAGAGCATGATAATATGATAGTGACTATATTAGTTTTGGTGTATGTAGTAAACCTTTAAATAAAAAAAAAACTAGTAAAAACCAATTAGAACTTAGGATTGACACACAGTGTCAGGAAGACACTAAAAAGATAGCTATAAAAGTCATCAATGAAGTATCAAAAATATATTTGTGGGACATAATTTTAAAACAAACAAAAATACCGTTCACTTTTAAAAGACTTATGATACCTTGCGTCAGATTGAAGAGACTTGGAGATAAAATTGCTGGACACAGAAATCTTAGAAAGAAGGAAGCACTGATCAAGTTGTCACTAATGTCTTCTCTTCCCATAGCTGCTAACCTCTCCCGATACTCACAAAACACCTGTCTTAATTCACTGTGGAGAAATAGGTTTCGGAGTTTGTATAATAATTATATCAAAAACATAAACTTTAGACTTATATTAATTTAGGTTGGTAACCATCAACTCGGGTCCTCTAAAGTTCTAAGATTAACATTCTTCTTATTAAAAAACTCAGGGTCATGGAGAATTCATTATTACAATATTCCCAATTTGAACTTACCCACAAATAACAAACAACTTATTATAGCTAAAGACTAAAAATAAAACTGAATTCTTAACAACTCAGTGTTAAATAAAGTTGTCGACTAACCATGCATTATAAAACTGATGTTAAAGAAATAGTTTTTAATTAGCTGTACTTGGTACAACCCTAAAAACTTGACAATCCAAAGTCAGTAACATTTTTTCTTTAAATCTTTCCCAGTGTTTCTGTTTCATTATTATTATTAAAGTTTTTCCCAAAAGGACACAAAATACTTTATTTACAATAATCTGATTGGTGTTTGGTACAATGAGGTAAAAATAATATAAAAACCTGAAATTCGATGTTAGATTTAACAGTGTTGTAAACATATCTCACATCACTCCATTCAATAACAATGGTTTATAAACACTTTGAAGTCCCCACTATCGAACACAAACAGCATTCATGATTTAAATAAGCATAACTACCAGGCTAAAAGTTTGTATCCAAGAACAAACAAAATATGTAATGAATAAAAGTAAATGACTTACTATGGCAGACTATGAGCAGAATTGATAATTTTGTGCCAAGCCATTTTCACGTACGTTAACAGGTTTGACTGGTGACGTTGGAGAACTGCATTGTTGGAAACTTTACTAGGATCCACCTGATGAAATAAATATATCCATCTTATAAATATAATTACAAACTATATTTCCCCTGGTGGCATAACCATAGCTTCAAATTTAATGTCTTAGCAGTCAAAAACAAAGCACAAGTTCTTATTTTCCTATGCTATGAATATAGACATTTATTATTAAAAAATAAGAAACTTTATTACCTCACAGTCATTTGAGTTTTCCATAACTGTTCGTACAAATTCGCCTAATGTGTCCTGAAGATACTGTAACAAATAATCACAAGCACTTACTTTAGTATCAGTTTTAACCTCCTTAATAAAAAAGAATGTTTTAATTTGGTTTTTAATGGTTTCTTTCAGATATTTTACAATTTTCTTAACACTTTGAAAACTCTTACTGAGCTGTTATTTTAAGTTTTTGTTTCTAAGCTAAACATATTATTCTTAAATACTGCATAATTAACACAAGAAACACTCAGAAGGAAGTTATTATATCATAGTTTCACCAATAAAATATGATAAACTCATTGTACAGAAATTTGGAAAAATTAATCAAGCTTAATCACAATTTATTCCTGTTCTTAGTTTCTAAATTAAGAAATTTTATTTGTCTTGGATTGGTTCAGCAGAAAGTTTCTGCATCTATAATACTAAAATATAGGATTCAATTCTCCACAGTGGATACAGTGCAGAGAGCCCACTGTAGTCCCCCATTTGGTCAGTGGTTACTTCACAGACTAAGAATTCTAATATCCAGATGTTCAATTCCTCATGGTGGACAGAGTGCACATAACCCATTCTGTAATTTGAGGCCTGGTACACAATGGTAGTCAGGGCACTTGACTCAGAATCTGCAAATTGCTGGATCAAAATGTGTTGTCTTGGTGTTGTTATAATGTTACAGTCAATCCTACTATTCATAAGTGGTAGGTGATGTTGCCTTTCCTTTAGTCTATCACTTCAAAATTATGGAAAGCTAGCACAGATAGCCCTCAAATATCTTTCCTCAAAAATTCAACAAAAGAAGAATTTCATAATTATAGTTTCAAATTATCACTATTTTACAAGAAAAGAAATATGCACCTTGTCTCCCAGAAGTTTCATGTAGGCTTCTGTAGCCTTTGTGGCAAGTGAGTTTCCTCGAAAGGTTAAATGTTGATCATCTAGTCAAAGATAGTAGAGTATCTTTTATTTTCTTATGCATACAGTCACAAAACAAAAATTCTCCAAACTCATACATTAAGACATTGAAATATTGTTTTTATTAACTTTCCTCGAAATAGAACTTTTAGATTGCAGAAAAGATTATTAAGTTCGTAGACAAAAATTAAATATTAAAATATTTTGACTTCCTAGCATTTTTTATAAATAAGTAGGACTTGTTTACACGTAATATTTTAAAGAATGTAGACAATTATTAGAATACTCAACAACATTGTTCAAAAAATGTTTTAATTCATCTAAATAGATTGATTGAAAACTGTAAAATTAATCAAATACCCTGACCAAAAGAATAAATAGTTAAAGCTACAAATGTTTATTGAGTTTAATCATTAAGCTTAGTTAACAAAAACAAAACTGATTGGAATTCATATGTACTAAAAATTCACGTACACTATAGAGAGTTCAAATGTTGAACCCACTTTGAAAGTAATTTAACAATTTTTAAATTTCAAAATAAATTTGTTGATTATAATTAGTTGGCTTTTTTCTCACTAATTTAATGTTTTTTGGAACTTGATTTTTGATACTAAACCATAGATTTTCATAATTTCAAATTCATCAAACATACATACTTGTGAAAATGATAAAACCGACCAATAATACTACTGTATTATTAAACCAATTGAAGATATTTTGTTTTATCAACATAATTAAAATATTTTACTTTATATTTTTTGAGTAATCTGACAGTTTCATTTATCATCTCATCTTCAATTTAACCTACTGCTAAAAATATTATATCATTTATCAATAACAGATAAAAAAAACAACTTTTTTTCTCTCTAAGTATAGCAAAGAGCAATAATTAATTTACCAAACTTTCTACAAAATGCTTGACATTTGTTAAAAATTTAATACATATCCATTCATACCAATCTTTTCGATATCATCCATCACAACATCTGAAAGAAAAGCTTTGGCCATACTTTCTTTGTGCATGATGTGTACTAAAGCAGTGGCTATCTCTTCCTATGATAAGAAACGTTAAAACATTACTATAAATATCAGAATTCTAGACTTCTGTGATACAAAATAGTCTCATCTTTAGGAAAAAACAGAAAAATTAGTAAGGGAAAACTATTATTTCTTATATAAAGATATGGATTTACAAGATTGATACAAATTTTTTTTATGTTTTAATAATTAGACAAATAATTTTCATAACACGGGTAAATCAATTATTGGATACATTTGTAAATAAGAATCTACAAATTTCCTTACCTTTGCACGTACGCTAATAACGGGCTCTAAAATGTCACACAGGCACTTGTATTCCAATTTAATGTACTGAAATAAAACAAAACTAGAATTAACATAAATAAGATAATATAAAAGTTTATAAAAATATGAAATCTTTAAAAATTCTGAACACACGACTGTGACGGTCACTTCACTGTAAGATCTAAATTATTTTTATCAGAACAGTCATCAAAAAGTTTTTTATAATTATTTCTTTCCTTTCCTAAAACTTTTCAATAATTTACTGCCAGATAAAAGCAATAGTAGATAGTTCACTTATACAGAAAAGTTTCAAGGCTATTGTATTGTTGCGTCAGCAGTCACATGACTACAGTGATGCAACGTTTCTA